GGCCACCACCATGCTATCTTGCCCCAGTCGGGAAAAGAACGAGCTCCCCGGTGGTACACCGCCACCACACAGGAGGCAAGGATGGTTCCGTGACCCTCTTGGTGATGGATGCATCCCTCAACAGTGGCCAATTAACAATTGAGAGAGGTCCAGCTTACCAAGGCGGAGCACCAACTACCTGTGGCAATCAAGCAACCACCTAGCCCTGATGAAACTCTAGTGGTTTCACCATGGGCGGACAACCATTGATGTCAGCTTTGTGTGCCGTTAAGCCTTGAAGCCGTTGTTGTCTTGGTCATGTTGATATAGATGTGTTTGGACCCCCAACTTGGTGTCTCTTTCTTGGATGTGTGATGTGGTATTTTTGTACCGCTCTTTTTATCTTTTGAGGGAAAAGCCATCATGGCAAGCTTTATTAATATCAAACAACACTTACATGGTCCGCTAAAAGATTAAGGATAAAAGTCGGAGCTGAGTCCAACCACATATTTCGTGGATCAACACGTCCATGTTGCGTCGCCCAAAGCCGACGGCATACATGTTGCCTCACCCAAAGCTGGCTACATGCAGTACCCCTTCCGTCCGGAATTACTTGTTGCGCCGCAACAAGTAATTCAGAACCGATGGAGTAGTATATTGCTCGAGCCATCTTTATTTCCCCCCAAATGAAGCTAATAAATAGATCTGAGTGATGAGTAAATACTTAATTAATTAGATTTAGGGAGTGTGTGATGTAATTAAAAAAATGGAATCTAGGAGTAGCCAGTCTCTCTCTTTTTTTTTACTAAGAATAATAATGGCATCTAATCTTAGTACCTACTGGAGTAGCAATTAATTTGCGTTTGGGCAACCAAATCCCCACACAGGGCCGCGGATAGCGCGGCCCAGGAGTGCAGTGGAGGCACACCGACTCGGCCTGATATATAACCCCAGAACCCCAGGCAGCCAGCCACTAGCTTGCGTCTCCTCCATTCCGGCCTCCTCTCCTCCTGGACGCTGCCGCCTGCGTCGCCCCCCACCCGCCCGCCCGGCCGCATCCACCTCCGGAGCAGGTGAGGATCCTCCCCGTCGTAGTTTCTCCTCGCCGTCGCCGGCCGTGGTCTCCGCGCGCTCGCCGCTTGCTCTTCCCCGAGCCCCCCGCCGGCCCCGATTTCTAAGCAGTTTCACGCACGCGGCGCCGGCGGCCGGGGGTTCGATCCGTGCGTGGCTCGAGTGAAATCCATGGGGCGAGATTGGAGCGCGTACGGGGGTCTGATTCGTGCGTGGTTGGAGTGAAATCGGTGAGCGGTCGAGCTTGGATTGGAGCGCGGGGGCTCGATTTGTGCGTGTTTCGGCCGGGTGAAATCGGTGAGCGACCCTGGAGCACGGCGCGCGGTTAATTAGTTGTTACTTCCTTCCTTAATTTTAGTACTAGTAGGTACTACTACGTAGGTGATAAGATAACATTCGGTCTGCTGTTTTCTGAAACTGGTAGCTAGAGACATGATCCCTGCACTGGTTACAAGGTTCTGCATTGCATTGGGAAATGTTTTGTTTTTGTTTGATCACTTGCCTCGGCATGTATGCATGCTTGATCATACATAAGATACGACTGACTGCCCCAACTAAGATAAGATGGTTGCTTTGCTTCTGTATTTGGTACGAGCTAGTATGGATTAATTGCTTGTATCTGCGGCCAGCCGATCGATGTGCATTGCATGTTTTCTTGTTGTTGCTTTCACTAGCTATTTCCTGATGACAATTCTGCTAGCTGTACGACTGAGCAGCGATTGATTTCTATCATGGGCCGGACATGACTCGTGGCTAAAAACGACATGTTTATTTGCTCTGTCCTGTCATTTGTTGTGCAGTTTGCCGAATCCAACCTTGCAAAGTTCAACTTCTTGCCTGAGCGAGCACAGGTCTCCAAAACCCCAGGTCAACAGGATGATCAGTAAGTACATCGACTCTCTCAACACGATCCAGGACAAGAGGGAGGACACGTACAGGACCAGAACATGAGCTTCCTTTCCGGGTGGCGAGCGTACAACTAGCTAGCAGTGTTTCAACTCGTGCCGATCGACAACTATATATATATGGAGTATAGTATAGTATATAGACAAGACGTACAGGCAGAGGCAGGTGCTCGACTAGCTTGTGCACGCGTTGCTACCATTTCCAGGTGCATGCTTTTGTGTATGTTGCAGTCGCTGGTGAACTACGTACGTACGTACGTTGCCTCTCCCAAGTTAAGCCCTTGTGAAATTGATCGCCTGTCAGTAGTAATTCCTCTGCTTCCTGCCCTGCTACTGATTCTTTACTAGTACTACGTTTGCTCGGATGTGTTTGTGTGTAATTTTGGTCGGCCGGCCGGCACTCATGATGTTGTATCTGCCACACCATGCCTGTCATCGGAGCAACACAAAATAGGAAAGGATTAGCTTCTTTTAGAATCTTGAGATTCCTTCGTTTATATAATAACTACATTAGTAATCTATAAACACTTTTATATTAGTTTACGGAGGGTGAATATAATAATAAGCTGCTCTCGCAAAAACAACTTGCACCTAAAATAATGTTCACGTAAGCATTCAAACTCTCCGAGTAAAAATATTTGTACAGCTTCCAACTAAATATATTTTTCGTTTTTCCGAGTAAAAATATCACGCAAGCACCGTCATCGTCGCGCCGCCGCGTGCATCATCACAACACCTTCGCAGCATCCCATCGCCCGCCGTGTTGCATCCCGTTGCCGCCGCATCCCCGCCTCTGCTTTTTCTTCCCCTACCTTTCTCCCACTCGTGGATCTACACTACAATACTCACGGATTTATGCACTCTGGCAGCTCGTGCTCCACCATCACGCAACAAATTAGGCTGGTTGTTGCATGAAGGCGCCGGTGCATCGTGGGTGCTATGATGGAGCTGTGACGGACCAGCCGGTGGTGGCGCTGCAGTGAAGCTTCGCCGGCGGCCATTGGGTGCTTCGATGGAGGTGCGACGATAGCCGGTGCTGCGATGGAGGCACATATCTCAATGTAGATCTCACGGGTATCGACCAAGACATAACGAAGTCTCGATCGACTGAGATTTAGTAACGACAAAGATGGTGGTGAACCGTAGAGTAGTTTTCATATCGCCCGTTACTTTGGTGCCGTTGTGGTGGTCTTTGCTTTTCTTTTCTGCAGCTGGGGTTTTATTCTCTGTAACTGTTGTTATAAAAGCAGGGCTCGTTTACTCTAAAAAAAGCGCAATTCCAGTGCATTCAATTAATCATTTCTTCATATCCCTGCACCTAATTAATCTTTTCTTTCATATCAATTGTTTGCGACATTGAAAGTTTTCTTTCATGGGATGATTCTACATGGTGGCGGACCAAGGACTTGAGCATGACCGGGGCTAGAACTTTCTAATTGCAATAAAAAAGCCGCGCAAACTCCCTCCTACAGTAGTATATAATACTAGGATTTTTATGGCCAAAATACACCACAAATGCAGCACTGAAACTTTTGAAAATAAATTTAATAGGCGCTGCTTAAATCGGGTAACACAACAAGAAAAATGAAAAATACATAAAAAATGATTGGGTGGCCAGAGAGCCATAACGGTACTGAACGAAGATGACGATGTTAATCGGTGATATATAAACCTTGGATATTGTTTTATTCCCTAGCAACGCACCGAGGTATTTGCTATAATAAATTTTAAAGGAAAAGTCTCCAAAGAAAGCCTAATAAATAGCCTATTAGGATGAGAGGATCAACGATGCATGGGAAGTAAAGGTGAATTTTCTACTACTACGGTAATGTAATTTTTATTCGTAATAGTCTCCTTCAACCGGGTGGCGCAGTGATCCACCAGGTTCTCGGGTGACGCACCACTTGACGTACTCGTCGTCGTCCGCACGACGACGCTGGCGCTGGCGCGGATGCCGGCGAGGAGGGCCATACGGGCCGTACACCGGGGATGCCGCGTAGTGCGCCCCGTCGTCGTCCCCGACGATCTCGTCTTGCGCCAGGCAGGAAAAGTCGACCTGCGTGACGCCGACGTCGCACCGGATCATGATGCAGTCGTCGCGGATCAGATCCCCGCGGCGCCTCTCCAGCTCTTCCTTCAAGATGAACTCGTCGTGGCCGCGTCCTGGCCCAGCTGGTTCCTCGCCGTCGCCGTCGCCGATGGCGGGGCCGTAGGGAGCGTGGACGTTCGGGAAGACGCCGGTGAAGGAGCCTGTCTCGGCCGGGAGCTCGTACGCCGGGACGCCGTCCCGGTCCAGCAGGCTGAACTTGTACCGCGCCTGCTGGGGGCTCCTGGTGGGGTCGGTCAGCTGGAGGTAGACGGAGATGGCGCCGGAGTTGCTGGACTCGTCGCGGCCGTTGGGGTAGTAGTCGACGCGCCAGCTGTGGCCGCCGACGTAGAAGGGCTGGGAGGAGAGCTTCTGGCCGGGGAGGACCGTCTTGGTGTGCGAGTAGCCGTCGATGCGCAGGAGGTGGAACCCGTCCGCTGGCCTGGCCACGATCCTCGAGGCCGACCGCGACGGACGACCGGGCACGGCGGCGGACATGGTCACCTGTTCCGATAGAGATGGTTGAATCATCCGATCCAGAGAGAAAACCTTGCCAGGTCTTGTATCAGATGGGGGAGATGAGCGTGTAAAACTCGATTGAAATTAAAGGAGCGCTGGTTGTGTATTTATATTGCTTCGATGCGATCGATACAGGACTAGTCCAAGTCGGTTTTACAGACTAACCGACTTGGTTACTCTGCGCCAACTTTGGCTCCAAGACTCCTAACAGACCTTTCCATATTTTAATTTCGGTTTTGCAGGCTAGTAGTACAAAGTTGCCATTGGAGTCTCGTGTACATATAATCTTTATCTTTATCTTTATCTTTACCTAATAATAATATAATAATCTTTATCTTTACCTACTAATAAACCACGCATTGCTTCTGGTGGTACGTCGCTGGCGTTTTTGCACAAAACTCCCTGTTTTTACTCATATTCAAGCCGCAGTCCTATTTTAAGTGGTTAATCAGGAAAACGCTTCGTTTTTACACAAAACACCCTACCGTTTGGAGTAATCAACCCGCGATCCGAGGTGATTTGTAAAGAAAAAAACACGGCCAGAAACAGAACACGAACTCCTCTCCCTCTCTCCCTCTCGCCCACGAACTCCTCGCCGCCAACACCACCCGCGCCGCCGGCTTCCGGCGAGCTCCGACGCCGCGCAGCACGCCCCCAAGGCCCCCACGGTCCGCGCCTCCCTCCCCTCCGTCCAGATTCTCCGTTCCCGTCCTCTACCGTCCGCTCGCAACCAAACCCCCGTGGCTAGGGTTTCGGGCTGGGCTTCCCCGGCGCGTCTCCGGCGGCCCCAGGTTCGTCCCTCCTTCCTTCTTTGCTGGGATTTTTCACCCCTACACCTCACCATCTCTTCATATCCTCTACTGCAGATGCAGATGGAGCACGCCATGGGAGTTCCCCATCCACCACGGTCACCGCCGGCAAGTGCTTCTTCACGGAGATGTGAAGGACGCCAAGGACCTGCAGCTACTCAAGGTTTTATCTTGTCCCCATCCTATCCCCTCTCCTTGTCGTCCCTTCTTCATTGGATGACCAGATGCACAACCACATATGTTTTTTGATTCAGGCTCATAGGGTCTAGATTTGAATGTAAAACTACCTGACTTTACCATTAACAGATTGGAAGCACGATTATCGCTGCAATTTTTTTTGTCATGGCATATTTTCTCTTATATGTGTTTGTTGATGATTAATCATCAAAGGTTATACGCGTGTTTCGTCCCAAGCACAAGTCCTTCTTTCACATATCCCTTTTGTCATATGTCTTCTTGATGCAAAGAGGCTCAACCTGCTACTGATGGATTGCAGCTTACCAAATTTGATTTGGGTGGTACAATGGATGTTTGGTATTGATGTTGAAAGAATACTTCACTTTCTGTAATTTCAGATGTTCAGATTATACCGAATGAATGCTACCAGATTCCATATTTGTTCTAGAGATATTATTGATCTTTTCATGCACCAATTGTTCAAGTAGTGTCTTTCTGCTAAAAGCTTTATATTGCCCTGTGTGTCCTTTTGTCCGTACCTTTTCCCAGTAATTTTCTCTGTTAACCTTGGGCCAGCTCATTTGTGTGTGCTTCATGTATATGCTTATGCTTTTGATGCTGCTGGACTTTGGAATGCATCCGCACAGTAACTTTCTGGGTATGACATATTCACTCTTAACTAAGAAATGCTACAGCTGATTCCTAATAATTATCAGTACACAATGTATTAAGTTGCCTTCGCTGTAGGTATGCTTGCATTCAGGTTGTCATTAGTTACGAGATGGTACATCAGTGTCTCCACTCTAGAGATGAATATAATACGCCAAAAGTAAGTGTCTGATCCCAACTTCTTTTATTGTGGATTGTGGGTACGGTGAGCAATACATTGATTCACAAGTACGTCTTGCAGCACAGAAATTATTCCGTTCAAAGTGAATGACACGGCGTAAATGAAACATGCGCTGAGCCTACTAATGCGACTACCAGTACTGTTGCACTACTAGAACCCAATGGCATGATGGTGCAGCAAATATGGTTTTTTATTAGATAGTTTTCTGCACTGTATATGTGATAAATTCACAAATTTATGATTTTGAGGTACTGGTGAAGGTAGATTCAAATGAGTGATGCAAATTCAGAATTCCACAGGTAGTGCCTATGACTGACTAAGGGTACATGAGTTGGAAGAAAGTCCAAGCAGAAGGAACTCCTGCAGATGCCCAGGCTGCTACTGTGCCTATCTTAAGGTATTGCTTCAGCGGTGGTATTAGTTGTTATTCTTTCCTGATACAGACATGACTCTTTGAGCTCCACCAAGGCATATATAACAAGAAGATAAGCTTGGTTTATTTTTTTATCAAGCAGGGGAAATGAAAGGACGATGCGCCGTACATTCTAGATTATTTATCAGTGTTAATCCGTATTAACTAATTTTATAGCCATTGTAATTAGCAATAGAGAAATGTTTGCTGATATTTTTTACCTGCGAGACCATAGTACTTTCTTGTTTTCTTTCTGTAATAAGTGCGAGATACGAGCAATAATAATATATTGGAGTTTATTCATGGATGAAGCGGTTCAGCTCAAGATATATAACATTCATGTTTCCCTTCCTAATGTTTCTTTGGTGAAGTCATAACCTATTTATGTTTCAATGGAATTCTGTTCAATTCGCCATTGTTTCCTACTATGCAGGGTGCAGCGGCATAGAGCACTTCGACAAAGGAGACTTGAGAATGAGGACGATAAGCAAGATGAGTTTGTGCTTTGGACGTGGAGTTTCTGCACCCGAGCTCATATGAGCTCGGGTGAACAGTAAAATCGAAAAAAAATTGAAAAAATTTCAAAAAATTCCAAATTTTTTTGGTAGAAACATTGAAAAAAGTTTTAAGTGCTTGCAAAAATTCGTCATGAAATCACATTTCTAGAAGGCGTGGCAAAAAAAAAAACAAAATCGGTACTCTGAAAATGCTACTTTTAAAAGCATTTTGGAGGTTGAATTTGTTTCTTTTGCCACGCCTTACAGGAATGTGATTTCATGATGAATTCTTACAAGCACTTAGAACTTTTGTCAATGTTTCTCTGAGATTTTTTTTGGAATTTTTTGATTTTTTCTTCGATTTTACTGTTCACCGAGCTCAAATGAGCTCGGGAGCAGAAAGGCACTTTCGTTGTGCTTCCTTCTATCTACATCAACTGCTTTGTTTGGGCCAAGTCCAAATAGTAAACAAAAAGAATAAACTCTTCCACAAACAAACATCTGTAAAAAATGCCCTAAAAACAAGTTCAAAAATCTTCACAGTTTTCATATCTTCACACAATTTTTGTTTCAAAACAATATGTTCACACTTTCTAAAAGAGCTTATTTTTTTCCAAAACAAAGTTCCATTTTTACTGTTTTCCCCATTTACAAATGAAAAAAACATTCTTTAAAGAAAACATCAATTCAAAAAATGTTCTTTAATAAAAACATTAACTAATCTTAAATAAGTGTTCCAATTTTTATGAAAACGTTAACTTTTGTTAGAAATAAAAAAGTTCCATGTTTAACCTTTTATTGTTGTTTATTCAAATTGAATATAAAAATGATGCACAATGGCATATGAAGCAGGTTGTGCCTTTTTCGCCCGGTGCAACGCACGGGCATTTGTACTAGTAATAATAATATAATAATTAATAATAATAATAAAGAAAGTTGAGTTGCTGTCGTCCGTCGTCATTGGCATTTTTGCAGAAAAACCCTTGTGTTTTCTGATAATTGAACCCGCCGTCCCTCTTAAAAGTGGATCTGAGAAAACAGTATCCTTTGTTTCGTTTTTATCCTGCCGTTCCCTTTGCAACCACGGCGGAGGAGGAGAAGTAGGGCGACAGAGGAGGAGAAGTAGGATTAGGATGGAGGCCGCATCGCCGGCGCCAGGAAATAAATAAAAGGGATGCTTCCACAAAGAAATTGGATTAGCATGAGAATACAAAAAAATTGGCAGGGGAGGCCCTTGAAACAGCCTCTGCTTTGACTCAATTGCAATTGGCTTGACTGCATATATTCAGTGAAGAAATCAGAGGTTCAGATCGGGTAAAGAACGAACCCACAACGCCAGCGCGAGGCGAGGGACGTCTGGTAAAGAACGAACCCACAACATGAGCGAGGCGAGGGACGGCCCGGGACGGTCGATGTTGTCCTCCCGCATGGAGGTGAGGTAGAGGGTGTTGGCGGCGGCGCGGCAGGGCTCCCTGCGTGCGTGCTCCTCCTCGTGGCCAAGTGAAAAAGAAAGAATTGGGAGGAAAAGAGGAAGAAGAAGAAAGGAGAGGATGTGGGAGGCGCAGGAGTTCCGGTGGTGCGGCGTCCGCGGGGGCGCGGGAGAGGTGGTGGCTCAGGCGTTGAGTGCATGGAGGAAGAAGGGGAGGCACTCGGGAGACTCGTGAGATTTGGGCGGCCATTGAGGAGGGGGAGTGCTGGACAGAGAGGGAGTGAGAAGAAGGCGTTGGGGAGAGATGGGATGATTAGTGGGCTGAGAAGATAAGGTTGGACAGCGGTGCGTGCGGCCAAATGATACGCGTCGCCGGCCTGAGACGGTTGATGGAATCGTTGTCGTCTACAGCTGAATATATAAGGTAAAACAGATGCATGCACGCGTCCCTCCTGAGCATCCCCATTTGTTTCTCGACGTGCATGCATTTGTTTGCTTCTGCGATTTTACATGCACACAGTTGCCGGGTTTGGTTCTACTTTTTTTCTTCTACAAGTTGGATTTACATCTGTTTGTGTTATCATTTTTCTTCTTTCTAAATTTCTTGAAGAAAAAACAGGATAGTACTTAGTATGAAAACAACACATATATTCTGATGCTTATCCCTAGCGTAATTAAATTTATTTATAAGTAGTTACATATGCTTTATTTATGATGCAAAATTATATCAGCTTTTTAATCAATGACATTCATATAAGTATACAAACTCTCGTGGATGCAAGCAATTTGGATGGCAATCTTGAGTCATGGATGCCGAGGAACAAAGAAGAAAAAAAGA